TCGTTGTCCTTTGTGAATTCTTAAAGCCTCTATAATCCCTCAAGATGTGTAGTCGTAGGCGTCCGGTGAAGAATAGAAAGAATGCCCCTTTGTACTGTCCCAGCAGGACGTACGTACTAGGGCTATGAGAAGTGGGGATGCGAGAGGCGAGGGTAGCTAGAGAAGCTCTTCGATAGTTACTGGTGGTTGATCGATGCTCACAGTAAGTATCGATCTAGAATCCTAATCGATGGAAGCGATGCGCGTGAGTTTCGAATACTGCTAATCACCGTACGATCCTTTCGGATCGTACACTAATTGTATTAATATAAAATCGTATCTAATTGTATTCTATTATATTCTAATTGTTTATATTATTAGTTTAGAATAGGGTCTTCTTTTCTTATTAGTTAAATTCATTTAACTAATAGTACAATTAATCAATCTATTTTTTTTCTCTACAACTATCCTATATGATTATGCTATAACGAATGTAGTAAAAAACCTTTCATTTGGTTCGTTTTCATCCTACGGTATTGTTATATATGTATATATATTTAGCAAATTCTTAATTGGTCCCTCTCGTTGAGTTAATATTTTCGTAATGATGTAAATATAAAAACACTACACCATTGTTAATATCAACGATGGTTCTTTAAATATGTTCACGGATAAAAAATTATCAGAAATGAAGAACAAAAAACTAAAAAAAATATACTCTATGTGACCTAATTACCGTAGAATATTTGGCCCGCAGTGTAGCAAATTAAGGTTAAACCAATTTTAAATTATTACTACTGTTTCTTACTATTTATTTGCTTGTATATTATTGTAAGCTTAATCAAATAAGGGAAACAACAAAATGTGATTTATTAAATAGTCCTTTGCTGTATCTTTGATTTTTTTTATAGATAAAAGATGTCTCCAAAAAATGTAATAAACTTGCAAATAATGGAATATACTAAAAGAAAAAACTAAATGATGATAATATAGCTGGAATAATGATCAATTAATTATAATATTATTAGTTATATTTGTTAATAAAAAGTAAAAACAAACATGGATTATTTTATGCATCGCATATGTATTCTAACTTTGAAAAATAATTACAATATTTTTTAATACAGTTAAAAAGATTTTGGAAAGGTATTGTGCGTGTAACAGTAAGAACGTATAATAAAAGAAAAAAAAACACAGAAAGCAAAAAAATAAACGTTCTCGTTATGACAGGCTTTCAGTTTTTCTCTACATGCCTTCCAGCTCCCTGACATTTCCATCGTACGAGAAGCGAAACGTTTCTATGTTTGCCAGAGAAGAAAATTCTTTTCCGACGTATATGTGTATTCGGTTTACACACACATATATATATATATATATATATATATATATATATATATATATATATATGTGTGTGTATGTATGGGTATATATAACTGTCTTTCTCTCTGGTGGTCAGTCGAGTATGGGGTCGATCCCGAAACAGCCCTGAGGCTACCAAATCACAATGTCGAAGAGAAAAGAGTCTTCTTTCTTTGAGAACGTCACAGAGAGAAAACAAGAGAGAGAAACAGAAAAAGAGAGAGAGATAGAGAGATATGGAAATCATGCGATTCTTACAGGTGCTTCACCATTTTGTGTGTATTTTCTCCTATGTGATGTCCAATAAAACTCGATAGTTCTTGTTTAACTCTATATCGTTTTTTATAACATTACTAATATTTAAAAAAGAGATAAAAGGAGAAATAATGTCCATTATAATTGTATTTATATAATATGGTTATAGAACATTGTAATATATGTAATTTTATACAACTTTAATTAAACTATATTATGCTATAATGAATAGTTATATAGCAACTTTAGCTAAAGTAATTTATGACTGTATTAAAGCTGTATAACTATACTCTGTAAACCGACAGTGTGCAATATACTTATTTTATTTAATTATATTATACAATAAAAAGAAAATTACATATATAAAATATAAAGAAAATAAAGAAATATCACGTAATATTAATATCCATGCAGTATGAATAATACAGTAAAATAGACATTATTTTTATTTGTTTAAATATTAAACAAAATAATTTATCAATATTATATCATTAATATTTGAAAAAACATAAAAGAACTTGTAAATGTATCTTTTCTTTGATCCTAATTAATTGTACTTGAATCTCCGTTGAGAGATCTCTAAAGCTATGCACCACGGTCTTCTTACACTTCTTACAGGTGAACACGACACTCGAGAAATACTCGCTCACCGCATGAATATTTACGCGAGTTGTGCATAAATAGCTATGGAAAAAATGGGTTAAACGAGACACACTAGCCTCTTCGTCCAGGGAGAGAAGAGAGAATAAGAGAGAGAAAAAGAAAGAGAGAGAAAGAAAGAGAGAGAGAGAGAACAGATAGAACGTGGACGAAGCTCTACGAAAACCGGCCACAAATTTTCTGCGTCTCTTACGGCACATCCGCATTGCGCATAACTGTCTCTCTCTCTCTTTCTCTCTCTCTCTCTCTCTCTCTCTCTCTCTATCTTGGTCTCTTTTTCGTTCTTTCTTTCTTTAGTCGCTGACCTACGTACGTTACATATATATATATATATACAACAGATTGCACTTTTTTTTGATAACGTTCATAATTTACAAATGTCACTTCCAGAATACGAACGAGATCTTCTCGATATGTGACTGTACCTTTAACTGTGAAACTGAACATTTATTATTTTACATAGTATTTTCTTTTAATTTTTTAGTGATATATTATGTAGTAAAATTTTATGGAATTTTGTACATGTAATAAATTACAAATGTGATAACAAAAAAAAAGGTACTATCCTTAAAAAATTAAATTTTGAGGGGCTAGTATATATATATATTTATATACTTTACCATTAAAATTCAGATTATTTACATGAAATAATTATGTAATACGTGAAATAAGTACGTGCTTAGGACAACAACAATTTCATTTATTTTTGTTCATTAACATTGTAGAATTTTAGTTACATTTTTTTCTTTGCATATCTAAATAATGATGTTTCATTTATTATTTAATTTATCGTTTAATTTATCGCTTAATTTATCAAGCGCATAATTTATTCTATGCATCAATAAATATCATAGACAATAACAATAAATAAATTTGTTAAGCATGTAACTATTATCCGAAAGTAAATAGCGAATGTATTAACGTCTATCCGAACAAGCAAAATTCGGTTTAAACTCTAGTTACGAGAATATTTGGTCGTGCATTTTCTTCGTTCGTTATCAAGAGAGGCAGAAAACTTTGCAGTTCTCTGAGCTCGGTTCGAAAATTCAGAAGGAAACGCTACTTTCCTTAGAGAGGTATGCAACTTTTTCTAACGAGTATCGAAGCAAAGTTTTGATGTTAAACTTTGTAAGTGTTTTATGCCTTGTCTATAGTCTGTGTACACTTCTTTAATAAAGATGAAATCTTCCAAGATGAGATGTAACGCCAGGTGAGCAAGTATAGGATAGGGCAGTAAACGGAGTGAAAGGGTTATATATATAAAAAAGAGATCTTCATCGATCAAAAATTCTTTCTTCTTCTATCGTCTATTAATCATCGTTAAAAGTAATTTATTTTAGTTGTATTCACAATCACTATACTGATCACGATAATGATTCATTGTTAGATCACTGGATTTCAATCATTTCTATTTCTATCCTTTCCTTCCATGTAGCAACGATATCTCTACAAAATATCAAAAAAAAATCTATTTAATCATATTTAAATGATATAAAGTAAATTTTTCTATGTACAGGATGAATCATCAAATATTTTTCAAATATATGTAATATACTAGGGGTGCCTCGCCACGCGTTGCTGTGGCTCACAATCAGTCCGATACACACGTCTTTAAGTCAACGAATTATATTATACTGCCATCTGTTAGAATCTTATCGAACTAACAGAGATAATCATGACTCTTTGTTAACAAACAAATAATTCGCAATTAAATAATATTGCGATTATAAATTGATATATAAACTATCCTATCTTTCAAGACGGATGAAACTGCACACAGTGTGCAAAATTTTATTAAAATCGGTTCAGTAGTTTAGGAGTCCATTGCGGACAAACAACGTGACACGTAATTTATATATATTAAGGCAGGATTCTACTTTAGTCACTCGAAAAAATAGCTATTTTTGTCAATTTTTTATTAGAAAACTAAGAAAGATATTGATATAGGGTTTGTTGTGCTTTATAAATATACTCTTAAAGTACATTAAAAAATTTTTTTAATTTATTTTATACGCTCTATATACATTGGAAAGGCCCTTGAACTGAACGCYTAAAAATAGTCTAGCCTTTGCGGTGTTGTAAAAATCTTGACATCGGATTATCTGAAATGAAAAACTCGAATAGTTCTATGTTCACAAAGACTACAGCAACCGGTGGTAGCAGATTTTTTCATTTACAAGCAAAAATAACAAAATGGCGTCAGTTGAAAAAAAATTATCAAAAAAATGTCTTTTTTTTTCTCATTTTTTGTCAAAAAAAAAATAGTTAAAATGAAAATTTTTTTATAAATCTGCTACCATTGGTTGATATATGTGTATAGATTATGTGGTAAAAATTTCAGACGAATCGAATAGCTAGTTTTGGAGATTTTTACAACACGCGGTTCAAAAATGTGATTCCGAGAAAAACGCATTTAAAGTTTTTTTAAATACTTTTTTTACCCGCGCACGGGTAGATTCGAGGGACGAAAAAGTACAGTTAGGATGCTCTCATCGTTTTGAAATTTTCAGAGAGTATTCTTAAATATATTTACTTACGAATAATCGAAAAAATAAATTTGAAAAAAAAGAATTACAAAGTAGAATCCTGCCTTAAGATAATTACTAAGATGTTCTGGCCACGCGTTGCTGTAGCTTTGTTGTAAAATGTTGATTTAATATAATTCTAAACTATTTAGTAAATTATAACAACACACAAAATAATACCACAATTAGAATGAAGTACATAAAATAATAAAACTCGAAAAAATATAAAAAGCGAGGTTATGTAAATTTGAAAAAAATGTATGACGTAATATATCGAAATAATTCAATTATAATGCAGCGCTATCTATTGAAAACTTACAGTACTTAAAGACCTAGATAACTTTTAAATAATAAATCCTTAAATTAGCAATAAAAAATAAAAAATCACGATAAAAACTATCCTATATCCAAAGTTAAAAAAAATCACACAAAATAAAAAAGATATCATTAAAATCGGTTCAGTATTTTTGGAGTCTATGGAAAACCAACAATATTACACTAAATTTTTATATATAAAGATGATAGTATTAATACTCTTGGAAAAAAGTGTATAAGATTATACAAAACATACTTTATATCTATTATATTCTTGCAAGGATTCTTGAGACTTCTTTAGCTCGTTCATGACATAATTCGTATCGTCTGCTTCCATTTTAGAATTCCTGCTGTCCCCATACGTGCTTACGGTAACGAGATTCTCGTACTCGTCTTTATCGCTTGACAGGCATGCCTAAACATTAACAACGTGTCGTTAAGGTACTCTTCTTCGAATCAAAAGTAAATAAGGATACTTTACTCTCGACTCATCCAAGGAATATCTTCGTAGTCTTTTCTTAAGTATTTTTTTTGATTGATACCAACAAACTGCGATTGGATAAATTAAAAAGAATATAGCATTTAGTAAGAATTCTGTTTTCCTAAAAAAAAAACCATGATTATTGTAAAAAAAGTCGAATTTTAATTATATGTAATATATATATATATAGAGTGACTTATTTTTAATCTTTCCACACTGTAAATTATTTAAAAAATTTAAAGTACAATAATTTTTATTCTTAAATATTATCATAAAAATATTTCAATACTATTATTTAAGTATTTTTATCGTGTCTTTTTACTTTTATGAGTTCGAGTTACTTCTTTCTCTTTCACTTTCTCACACCTATCAATTCTTATCGAAGAGGTCGCGTATTTTTTAATTAAAGAGATTAAATAATAATTTTCTGGTCTGATTTTTTGATGTTTGCTGGTAAAAATACAAATCAGTCACCCTGTATAGATTCTAAGTTTATTATTTCATTGTAGTAAACCTGCTACAAATCCTAATCGATCTACTGCCTGAATCTGGATGAATTGGAAAACCAGATTCATCGAAGACGATACATCTGCATTTTAATTCCTCTTCAAAATACTCGTTCATTTTAGTAGTTTCAATTAAAGTATCCAATCCCCAACGACTAACCTCAGGCATATAGATTCCTATGATCCATTTTGATATACCTACAAGGTTTCTTTAGTCTTTTGTATAATTGCACGTTGAATGATTACAGTATAACAAAAAATTAATATATAAATATAAAAATATTGAAATGATCAATTTCTTTCATGGAATATAAAGAAATATGATTTAATAATTTTTGTATTGAATTTCTTACCCATGAAAATTAACAGTGTCACTATTGAGAGAAGCAAAAGTATAACATCGAAGAAACTTCCATCAAAGGAAGATCTCATTGGGGCATTAGGTACAGGAGGTTGAAATCCTGCTGCGCGATAATGCGTCGTTGACATCGGCCGACAGCCATCGGCTATAGTAACGCAAGCGCAAAGACAGTGCCAAACACAGAGGCAACGATCCATTTTTCGTACTTTCATTCTTCTCCTAGCCACCGTTTTTCCAACACGGTTTAACAGCTCCACTAAAAAACAACATCTATGCTTATCTTAGGTTATACTAGTCCCTCTATACCTATTTTGTAACTTTTATAGCGTAGAAATACATATAGTACAATACTTGCTAGAATTAGTACATTTTTTTTTATATAATATTTTGATAATTTATTACGACATAAATGAAAGAGTATTGATAACGTTCTCATTTACTTATAATTTGTTTTATTACCGGTACATTGGAATTCATTGAAAGGAAGTTTGCCGTAAAGATCAAAGACTACTCTTCTATTTTGTCGTGGTAAAATAATCTGTACGAGGCTTTTTACGTTCGACCAAGAAACCGGAAGTCCTTGTGGACAGTTAACAATTCTGGTGCGATAAACTGACGGTGTTGATCCTACGTTACGTATCACTATCATTACGATTGTATGTATTAAAGATATACTGTCCACGTATATTTGAGTTATACGTCCAAATGGTCTGAAGAAAGAAAAATATAGATTATTTATTTTACTTTAATATTCAAAAAAGCAATCCTAGACACAAATTTTTACCAAATGTTTTATAGTACATTGGATGAGTCTATTGACATGGATAGAACAGATATGATAAATGAGAGAACCTGTTTATAAAGAAAGTTTGTCAGAAAAAATTTAGTTATCTCAATCGCTGTCCAAACTTTCTTTTGCCTTATAAGTCTTTTTCCGACGTGTTTTTGGAACGAAATATTTCTTCTATGGCCAAGATCGAACGATAACTAGTGTTTCCTATACGAAGCATCTTCGGGAAAAAAGTCCCGCTACCTACTTGCGTTTAAATCGCCGGTATAACGGGTTTCAAGAAAACAGGGTTTTTCCCAAACATAATTGTAAATGCATTTTGAATATGCTATTAAAAGCTAGTTCTTCTGTTTGTAACACATTCTCATAAAGAAAATGGCCTCTTGTTAGGATCTATTAATTTGCCACCTACTATCATCGCTCATAAATTTCTTGAAAACCATTCGCTACAATAGTAAGCGACAATTTATCGTTGAATCTAACCGAACTATGGAAAATTCGGAACTATCCAAGTGTTCTTGAGATCGTCACACGTTTTTCAGAGGATACTCAAAGGTTTGAAAAATCGACACGAAGAGGCCACAGGGTGAAACGCATATAATCTCATATAAACACACATACACGCTCTCATAGATGCACTCATACACGTATATAAAGGAACGTTTCACGTGGATGATCCGTGAAACGATCGTACACAGATCGATCCTCTCGAACTCACCCTGCACTGGGGACGCTATTGTAGTCGTTTCTGACTTCAATGTCGATCGCAGACACGTGCGGGGAATGGTACTCCAAAGCAAGAAACTCGCCACTTCCGCTTCCGCTCACGTTGTACTTGATGGCCTCGCTCGGCACAGACGCGAAATTGCTCAAGAAGTAGCAACCAGCTCGCCCAGCTTCCCGTGCTTCCTGTAGACACACATACACACACATATGACGTTAAAAGAGATCGAACGTGTAAACCACCTCTTCTCTCTCTTTTCTCATTTTCATTTGAAAAGTTAAGACTTTGCTGAAACGTTGTAATTTTATGTTGAGGAAGTTACGAGTGGTATTTGTCTCTACATGCTTTTCTCTTTTTCTATAAAGTTTAAGAGCAAGAGTAAAAGTTTTTTTTTAAAAAGGAAACAAATAGAAGAATCGATTTGATCAAATGAGTTGTAATAATTGGAATGAGAGAAGTTGAAAGAAAAAATCACTATGCTTTTAACATTTATTAACAAAGTAGAGTTTAATAATTAAACTTATGGTTAGAATAGGTAAAAGGAAATAAATAGTATACAAATATTATAGTATATTAATCAATATATTAATTAATCTTACTAGGGACGGCTCAAAACTTTTTAATCCTACTAGGATATCAACTTTTATTTATATGAAATATATACTATAAAAATTACAATATTGCATAAATATGAAAAGTAAATAAATGTAAATAAAAAAGAAAAATGTTTTTATTTGTGTGTGTGTGTGTGTGTGT